CTCCAAGTCCTTATTTAGTTTTTTGAGAACAACGCTGCTTTCTCTCTCTCTCTCTCTCTCTCTCTCTCTCTCTCTCTCTCTCCAAGTATCTTCTGGTAAAGGACTAAGCTTTTGATTTTGTTTGTGCAATGCTAGGGATTGAACTCAAGGTCTCACACATTCTAGGCAAGTATTCTATCCCTGGTCAACATTCTGAGCCCAAGGATAGACTAAAAAAGAAAACTAAAATATCACTCTATATGTTATATATGCTATGACTGCATTATTTTTTATATTACAAATATAATGGTTTAAACCTATATTCCAAGTTTAATTTGACTTCCAAGACTATTGTAAGTACAGGGTAAATATTATCCTGCATCCCTCTTTGCCCAACTGGCAATAGTCTTGATGAGAGTTTCTTGGTGATGAGACCATAGGGTCAAATTCAATGCTACATCCCAATGTGACAATATTAGAGCATAGGAAAATATTATTTTGAATTACTAATGTCACTGAGATAGTATAGGTTATAATTTATGCTACCTAGGGTTGTAACAAAAAAAGATGATCAACAGAACAAGATCAGTTTCACATAAGAACTGAGTCACAAAAATGTGATTTAGGATAAATTATAATCTCTGTGTTTCTTCACCTAACAATGGGGATATTAATGATCACAGCTGTTGAAAAGACATAATAAAATGCAAGCTAGAAAGTTCTCAAGAGACTAAGCATCCATATTTTTTTCTTATTTCACAATTCATAATGTTCCAAATTTGCCTTCTGTTCAGATTTATCTATGAAAAAAGAGTTTAAACAAGAAAGTACATGATATTGTACAGTTCCTCACATCTACAAAATTTTTCCTCACAATATAAATGTAAGAAAATTACAAACAGGGCAAGTGTATGCTACAATAGGAAGCTAACTTGCCTAAGATTCTGTGGCTGATAATACAAAAACTGGGATTTAAAGTTGGTTTCTCTTCCTTCAAATTCAAGGCCAACATAGAGAATTAAGTATATTCCAGATGAATTTCCTTATGAGAAGATTTGGTAATTTTTTGTACTCTTCCTTTCTCAATAGAACTAATTAATTGATCCAAAAGCATCAATTAAACAGAATAGTGGGTATTCTAGCTCAAAACTTTTTTTGAAACTCTGGGTTTTCACAAGTATAAATCTAATCTGACAAGATATTTAATTATCTCATTTTCAAGAGCTAAAAAAAGATTACCCTTCTCCCTTCACATTTTAAACACACAGCACTTTTAAAAATTCCCACACAAATGACAGCTTAAGAGGATTAATTGCAAAAGTACAGCTAGCTAGATGCCTCCAAAAATAATATTACTTGAAAAAAGTTCTTAGAAATTAAAAATATAGCATTTACTGTAACTTGTAACTGGATTGCTATACTACCAGTAAAAATTTTCTTGAAATTCACTATCACTTTTAAATATAAATCTTTCTTAAGAGACACACTATGAAAACTTCTAAAATTAAATGCTGTTTCTACTCAAATTAAGTAAATTTCATATTATACAAGAGACTTTTAAAGATAATATATATTTAGTTACTAAGTTAATCCAAATCTATGCTTATTGCCCATTACTTTCTCTCCTGTGATCACGGTTTCTAGCACACTAACCTCTGTGGTTCCTCAGTACCAACAAAGAACATTCTTTTCCCAGACATTCATGGAGGATACCTAGCCAGCAAACACATCTACAGCTGTACTAGCTCTTCACAGTTGGCATATGTTCTGATAGGCCAGTATCCATCCTATACTAAGTGTTAAGAGTTTAATATTGTCTTTTCATATCACCAACAGATAACTCCTAGGGGGGAGCTTAAAAGTTGTAGTACTTGCTCAATGAATTCAATCTTTTTTTTTTTTTTTTGGCGCCAGGGATAGAACTCAGGACCTTGCACTTGCAAGGCAGACACGGTAAAACTGAGCTAAATCCCTGCCCCTCAATCTTTTAACATTTATTGAATATATCTACTCTGGTCCAGCACTCTTCTAGGTACTAGGGATAAAGCTGCACTAATTGTTTAATGTAATTCTTGCCTTATGAAGCTTGTATTTCACTTGGAGGACATAATCAAAAATATATCATATGATGTTATCACAGATAAATATAGCCATCATAAAGAGAAATTATGCAAAGTAAGAGTAGATTGTGCTATTTTATGGAGCCAGAGAAGGACTCTAGTAAACTAATATCTGAGCAGAAACTGAATTAAATAAAGAACAGACCATATACATGTCTACTGTGTTTGCTAACTTATGAAAGATGGTACTGGATGATTAATAAACCCTGCTTACAAAAATAGTTTCCACCTTCCATATCTCTGTATAGAATTTGGCAGGCAATGTAGGAAAAATCAGTCAGTGGAAGGTGAAGAATAGATGGTTTGGTCATCTATTTAGCATTATTACCCTGCGAAAACTGTCCAATTTCCTCTATCTCTGAATGAATAATCATAAGTATATGCAGAAAAGAAAAAACTATTTTGGCCGCTATAGGCATTATGATAATAAACTCATATTTTCATGGTTAAGAGAAAAAATAAGTGAGAAGAGAAATAAGTGGGAAAAAATATCCTGAGAGCAAAATAACCTTCTTTATGTAGGCCAAAAATGAAGTCTAGCATGAAATGAAAATTAGATATTTTATAGTGCCTTATATAGTCAAAGACATTAACTTCTTACACAAATTAAATCAAGAAATAGATTCAGCAATGCAAGTACAAGTAAATTTTCAAAGGAAGATATATGAGAGTTAATATCACCATAACAAAATCCATATCAATTTATTCTCCGCTCATAATAGAAAAATAGCTAACTTTCACAAACTCTGTATTGTGATTACCTTTTAAAAGAGTAATGTCATTCATTAAATGAAGTGCATAACAATATTTATATCAAACTGAGAGACTGATTTGCATATTTCAAATACCAGTACTTTAGATCAGATTAAGAGTCAGGTAGATAAGCTTTAAGTTCCTACCTCATAAAACCATTATACATAACTCTTTAATCTTCTATAGCTTTCCAGAATACATTTATTTTCATAGCTACTGCCATAAAAGAATGAGATAATCAACTCCACAGTGTTAGAAATTGGAGAGAAAGATAATAATTGACCATGTTATAGTCCAGAGAATCAAATCAATTATCTAGGCTCATTTCATGGAAAATTTTATATTCTGAGGGTTATAGTTTTATTTGATATTACATATCCCTATTCATGTTCAAATTTGCATGGTTATTTCTTTCTATTAGGGCTTTGGTATGTCAACTTAGACCTGGCTAAGCCTATACACAGTGCAAATATTTGGCTGGCTTGTAAAAAGGAGCATCAGTATCTCTGAAAACCTAGAGGTATAATGAGTTAACCAAACATGATAAAAAGTATCTTCCTTCACTGAATTTGATTCATACAAGGATGCACTGGAATTGAAGATTATACTTTCAAATGTACAATTAAGTAAATGAAACTCTTGTCACTTAGAGAGGGAAGTAATAGTGGTAAAGGACATATGAAAGATGACCCCTACATCTATTGTTTTTCAAAAGCTGGGAATTTGGTGAGGCAAATACTGGCACAAACTCAGGTAATAAACTCAGTATGAGGTAAAAAGTAGAAAAAAAATTCTTAGTTTTGGAAGATATAAATGACTTAGAAATATACACTTGCAAGTTTTGGTGTATAAATAATAAATGAAGACATAGAATCACTGTGACTAAAAAAGGGAAAAGAAGTTAGAATCCTCCAAAGCAATAGCATTTATTCATAGATGAAAGAGGACATATTGGCAGACTTTTTGTTAGGGAAAGAAGATGCAACAACCACTTTAGAATAGAGAATTTAGTGCGATTTTCTATAATTAAAGTAGAAAAATGAATGGAGAAATATTAACAAAGAATGAACCAATTTCATAATGCTAGAAGATAACAGAAGAAGGCCAATTCCCTAGCTACAGAATTAAACTGTTGAACAACTGCCTGTCTGTCAAAATCTTCTGTGAGAGGACCATAAACACTCAGTCCCAGAGTGAAGACTTACATACAAATACAGACATTCATCGCTAGAGTCACACGGGAAAACAACAATTTTTTAAAATTTCCAATTAGCTGAATTTAGGTTATCTATACCAGCATTTTTAAGACTAATACTTCAAATTAAAAGCTATTTATGGATCAATAAAAATTAAATCAATAAATATTACTTATCAAGTTGTATGACTATCTTACTTCTACACTGTTCTTCATATTAGACAGCTCTCAAAGGAAAAAACCCTGCTGAACCAAACCCAATTCCTCAAACAGCGAAAGTGCTCAGGTGCTAAAGCAGTTTCACTGTTGCACTTTAGTTAGGCCCCACTGGACTTGTCTTAAAAACACAAACTTCTCTCATGCCCATACCTTACCGCATAAATCAAACACATGAAAATAATGTATTCTGTGATAGATTTTAGAAGTTAAAACAACTCTAAAACCATCTCTCATTCAGCTACTTGGCTCCACATAGAGAAGTTATGATTTGCTCCACTTGAAAAAAGTAATTGTTTTTATATTTTTTGGAAGACTAATCAGTAATACAGTTTTTAAAAGTTCCAGTATCTTGTGATCATCAGAAATTGGACATTCAAAAATTAAAATTCTACTATATTACTAATTGCTGGACATCTTTTTCTTCTACATTTTGGAGTCTTTAATATTGAGAATCTTTCCAAGTATTAACATTATAAAGTAAAAAAAAAGGCTTCAAATCTTTCAAGAAAATCTGGGAAACAAAGAAAAAAATCAGATTGTTCACATCCTAGTAAACACTGAATAAAAGGCAGTATTAATAAAATTAAGAACACGTACTTCATTTGTATTGGCAGTAGCAGCATTCAATAAATCTTTTTGTTTCTGAATTTCTAGCACATGATCTAAGAACTTTATTTACAATGGGAAATATTAATTTAAAACAAAGAAGCAAAAATGTATATATATTCACCTACCTTAGGAATAGGATTCAGGAGAACTACACCTGATTTCTTAGTGATGACTTGTTTTGTTGTATAGTGATGATCTATAAGTTGAGGGATGCTTGAAAATCCAGTGCCCTCAAATCGATACAGATTCTGAAAAGATAAAAATAAAGTAGAATAAATATGAAGATATTCTTTCAGAAAAACTATATTCATCACAAAGTAAGCTCTATTTAACAAAAACTATCATTGCACAACAATGTAAATATATTCAATACTACTGAACTATACACTTAAAATTGATTTAAGGGGTAAAAAAGAAAAACATAGAAAAATAAATACTAAAATCTACCTCTTGTCAAAAAAATAATTTGTATAAGGAGGAAACCTAATTCAAACTATTAAGAGAGTAAACAGAAAAACTATGAAAACTGAAAGGACTTTAGTTAAAATGATAAGCGTGAAGAAAACAAAGGATGAGACATATTCAAGTAAAGGAAGAAGGAATCTGTTTACATATAAATACATATACAATATGTTCCATTAGACAAAATTTTCATTATCAAAAATAATATTACAAGTTTGTAGTATTACTAATACAATATTTCAATACCTCTGATCATTTATCTCCTATATATTAGACAAAATTTTTATTCTCAAAAATATTACAAGTTTGTAGTATAATACAATAATATTTGAATACCTCTGACCATTTAACTCCTTTAATTATTAAGAAAGTATTAGTTGCTTTTATATACTGGGAATTTCATTAGTATTTATTACCAAAAAACATTCATTCATATACCTTTGATAAAGAAATAAAATGCCCCAGTAACACAGTGAAAAAACTTCAAATATCTACATGTTAAACTATTACCATTTTTTATATCACCAGGTAAGTAGCATTATGCAAATGCTCCAGAGACCCCTTTCCTGTCTTCATATTTAACTATGCTGGTGGGTAGGTTATCATATAAATTAACTGAGAGCAGTAAATAGAGAAAATAAAAAATATCTCAATGGAAAACATTTCAATGCAGGAAGCACTGAAATGCAATGTAATAGGCTGCCAGCCGCCCGACGCCCGCAGCCCGAGAGCCCTGGTTTCCACAGACTTCACCAAAATCCCATCCCAAATGGAACACGCCATGGAAACCATGATGTTTACATTTCACAAATTTGCCGGGGACAAAGGCTACTTAACGAAGGAGGACCTGCGAGTACTCATGGAAAAGGAGTTCCCTGGGTTTTTGGAAAATCAAAAAGATCTTCTGGCTGTGGACAAAATCATGAAGGACGTGGACCAGTGCCGAGACAGCAAAGAGCTTCTTTTCACTAATCGCAGGCCTCACCATTGCGTGAAATTATTATTTTGTAGTGCACATGAAGCAGAAGGGAAAGAAGTAAGCAGAATTGAACATCTACTCCTGCCCAGATGAGGGTTCTCCCAAAGGGCCACTTACGGAATCTGCCCCTCAGTTTCCCCGTGTATAAAGATTTCTTGAGCAGATCAGGACCCGTAGAAAATGTACAAATAACAACCAGCTCTCGCTGGACAAGCAGAGAAAGGAAAGTTAGTTAAATGCGAGATAAGCTTTTGATTTTTATATTGTTTGCATCCTCTTGCCCTCAATAAATAGTCTTTTTTTTACTTTCGAAAAAAAACAAAAAAGAAATGCAATGTAATAAAAGCTTCCTTCTGATTATTCACTAAGATTTCATCTGCACATACACAGAAAATACGTGGGTTCAGATATGGGAATGTACCACTTTAAGAAAATTTTAAAAATACAACTTTCGTATTTTATAGAAATAGAGAGTAGAATAGGGGTCTAGAACGAACAGAATAGAATAGGAAGGCTAGAGGGATGGAAACTAGGACATTGGCTGACAGGCACCACAATATAGTTGCCTAGGAGGGAAAAGTTTTACTGTTCTATAGCACAGCAAGATGACTACAGTATACCAGAATTTATTATAAATTCTGTAAAAAACTAGAAGGAAGGAGTTGGAAGGCTCTCTCTCTCTCACACACACGCACACACACACACACACACACGGAAATGTTTAAGAAGATGGAAATGCTAATTATACTTATTTAATCACTACACGTTGAATATACATATTGAATTACACTATACAACTATGCTGTCAATTAAATTTTTTAACTTAGAACTTTCAAATTTGTCTAAATGTAAACATAATTTGCACTAACTAGAATATTATTTTCGAAGTAAAAGGTTTAAAACTGAAAGCTCTTTTTTTGTAATACAAAATAAGGTTCAGTTTAACAGATTTAATTTACATGACTTTTTAATTTTATTGGTACATTTAATGACATTCATCATTGGAAACTGCACCTTTACATAATGCACCTTGGTTCTTATTTTTTCCCCATTCCCCTGCACTGCTTTCAACCCCTCCACCATCCCCTATCTACAAAGACTTTATTTCCATTTTTTCTTTTTCTCATATTAATTGCATTCCCTTCTCTCCTTTCCCCTACCCCTCTCACTTCCCTTTCCCCTTTGCCCCTTTTCTTCCTATTTCACGTTATCTATTACACCTTTTACTCCTTATTTATGCTTTCAGTTTCTCACACTAGAGAAATTATTCAGTATTTACACATGTGTCCTATTTATTTCACTTAAGAGTATCACCTCGATGTGTATCCATCTAGCTATACGTTTCTCTAGTTTCTTGTTCTAATACTCCATTTTATTTTTTTAAAAAATCATATTTTCTTTATCCAGCCTCAACTTGATGGGCAGTTGGGCTGCTTCCAAGTTTTAGCTATTACAAATTCTGCTCCTATGAACATGGGTGCACATATATCACTGTGGCATGATTCTTTTAATTCTTTGGGGAAGATACCCAGAAGGGGAATAGCTGGGTCAAATGGGACTTCCAGTCCTAGTGCTTTGAGGTATCTGCATACAGATTTCCACAGTGATTGCACCAGTCTACACTCCCACCAGCAGTTGGAGCAGTGTTCCTCTTTCCCCACAGCTCTGCCAGCATTTGTGACTGGTTGATTTCACAATAGCAGCCATTCTTTCCGGGGTGAGATGGAATCTCAGCGTTGTTTTCATTTGCATCTCTCAAATGACCAGTGATGCTGAATATTTTTTCCTATGTTTATTTGCTATTTCTACTTCATTGTTTGAGAAATGTCTGTTCATTTCATAAGCCCATTTTTCGACTGGGTCTATAAATTTGAGAGGCTCTGATTTTTATTAAGTTCTTTATATTTTCTAGATAGTAGACCTTTGAGGAAATGCAGGTGAAAATTTTTTCCCACATTGCGGGTTGTCTCTTCACACTGCTGGTGGTTTCTCTTGCTGTGCAGAAGCTTTTTAGTAAGAATAGATAACACTTGATTGTTTATGCTACTTCACTTATAATTGAGATTTTGCTCATGAAGTCATCCTACACCAATGTCTTCAAGAGTTCTACCTAACCTCTGCTCCAGCCAGTTCAGCATTTCTGTTTTAATATTTAGATCTTTAATCCATTTTGATTTTAGTTTTGTGCATGGTGAGAGATATAGGTCTAGTTTTAATCTTTGGCAAGGTGAAACCCAATTTCTCCAGCACCATTTATTAAAGAGGCTATCTTTCCTCCAGCGAGGGTGTTTGGCTCCTTTGTCAAAGATGAGATGGCTGAGCGTGTCTGGAGTTGTTTCCCCATCTTCTTATCTGTTCCACTGGTCCTCAGGTCTGTTTCTTTGCCAGTACCATGCTGTTTTTATCACAGTAGCTTTGTAGCACAGTTTCAAGTTGAGGGTTGTGATACCCACTGCCATGTCTCTATTGCCTAGAATTGCTTTTGCTATTCTAGGTCTCTGCTTGTTCTAAATGAATTTTTGGATTGTTTTCTCCAAGTCTGTGAAGTATGCTGCTGGGATTTCAATTGGGAATGCACTGAATTGATATAGCAGTTTTGGAAGTATGGCCATTTTCACTATGTTGATCCTTCCTACTCAAGAGCAAGGGATGTCTTTCAATTTTCTGATATTATATATAATCTCTTTTCTCAGAGTGCCATAGTTTTCAGAGTACAGGTCTTTGATTTCTTTGGTTAGGTTGATTCCTAGGTATTTCAATTTTTTGGATGCTATTGTGAAAGGAATTGATTGACTCATTTCCTTAGTCTGTTTTTTGGGTACAGAAAAGCTATTGATTTTTGTGTGTTGACCTTATATCCAGCTACTTTCCTGAATTTGGTTATTAAGTCAGAAGAATTTGGTGGAGATCTTAGGGTCTTCTATATAGAGTATCATGTCATTTGCAAATAATGACAATTTGACTTCTTCATTTCCTATCTTTATTCATTTTATTTCTTTCTCTTGTCTAATTGCTTTGGCTAATGATTCCAAAACTATACTGAAAAGGAGTGGTGATGCTGGACATCCTACTCTTCTTCCTGATTTTAGTGTGAAGGATTTCAGTTTTTGACCATTTAGTATGATATTGCCTGTTGGTTTTGCACAGATGGCTTTTATCAGACTGACGTAGAGTCCATCTATTCCAATTTTTTGTAGGGTTTTTATAATAAATACATGGTGGATTTTGTCAAATGCTTTTTCTGCATCTATTGTGATGATCATATGGTTTTTGTCCTTGGCTCTATTAATATAGTATATTACATTTATTGATTTGCATATGTTGTATCATCCCTGCATCCCTGGGGTGAATCCCACATGGACAGGGTGTATGATCTTCTTGATGATCTTCTGCATTCTATTTGCCAGTATCTTATTAAGGACTTTTGCATCTATGTTTATTAGTAAGATTGGCCTATAGTTCTCTTTTTCGGTTGGGTCTTTCTCTGCTTTGGGGATCAAGATGATGCTTGCTTCCAGGAATGAATTTGGGAGTATTGCTTCCCTTTCAATTTCATTGAAGAGTTTAAACAGTAGTGGCAGTAGAGTTCTTCTCTAAATGTCCTGTAGAATTCAGCAGTGAAGCCATCAGGACCCGGGCTTTCTTTGTTGTTAAGTTTTTAATTACATTTTCAATTTTATTGATTGATATTGTGTTGTTTAGAACTTTTAGGTCATCTTCATTCAGCTTTGGTAATTCACAGGTATCTAGGAATCTGTCCATTTCTTCTGTATTTTCCATCTTAGTGGAGTAGTATAGGTTCTGGGA